TTTTAATTTAGTTCTCATAAAAATTATAAATATTTGGTTCCTTGATATTCTTTCAATTAAATTTTGGTACAAAAGTTCAATTTTATTATTTTGTAATTTTTGGATTGAGAGAGAGAAGAAAGAGATCATAAAATTCTAGCACTAAAGAGAGAAAAATATTGTTGGCCACCAAAACAGTCAATCATTGAGTCAAATGGTCTCATTTAATGAGGGAAGTTCATGTTAGAAGCTTTTTTTGTCTTGAAAATGCCTAAAAAGATATATCTAGGTCAAATAGTCTCTTTTTTTGTTGCGAGTTGATTTCAGATTTTGAAATGAATTTCTAAGTTTGATGAGGCTATATATAGGTTTATTATGATTTTTAGGGTTTTTTCTAACTATTTTGGGTCAAAAAACTTTTAACCATGATTTTTCAACCCCTATAATAGCTGAAATCTAGGTAAAATTAGATGACGCCTTATTTTCCATAACATGCAACATGTCGTCTAATTTTTTTTTTTATCAAAACCAATTATGGTGAATAACATGTCGTCTACCTTGGATGCAATTAAAATAAAAATAAGAGCCCAAGTGCGATGACTCTAACAAAATGAGTCAGTAGTTATGGCGCCTAGTTTTTTTTCTAATTTATTTTAATTTTATATTTTTAAAAATATTTTTTTATTTATATTTAAATTAATATCCATTCTTTTTTTTTGTTTTGTTTATATAACTTCTTTTAAATGAAAATTATTTTTAAGTTATTTTATATATATTTAATTTTTTAAGAGATTTGTTTATTTATTTATAATTGTTTTTTTATCTTTTATATAGATAAAGATTTAAACTGGATGGATTCACACCTAACCCATCTATTAGATTAAAGCTTTCAATAAAAATATTATTTTAGTATAGCAAACACGTTAGGTAAATATCTTATCTTGACGAGATTAAATAGTTTGATTTATATATATTTTTTGATTTTTTAGTTTTATTTTTAGTTATCATTTATAATTTTTTTATTTTAACATATATAGTTTTTAATTTATTTGGTTATATATATGTATAATTTTGTTTTATTATTAATATTTTTTAATTATAAAAACACAAAAAAAGTTGTATACGTAACTTTTTATAGATTAAAAAATATCTGACACATCGTGGGTCAAATAATTAATATAATAATAATGCGTCTCTTTCGTCAATTCCATATGCTATGGTGCTGTATGGCATATCATTTTTTTAAGGAAAAAAAGGGCTCAAGTCATCGAGCATTTGTCAAAGATTATGCCCTTTAAACACTTTATCGATAATAGAGGTGGATTGATGTTTCTAATTGGAGCAAATGGAATAAATGGATGGTTCAAACAGCTGATGAGGGTCCATGGCTAATCTCATACGAACAATTTATGGGCAGGAGTTTATTTTAGTGACACTTGTTGTTTTTTAAATTAATATGATGTCCAGTCAGCTTTATATCAAAATTAATTTTACGAATCCTAAAATTAAAATCTTTAATAACTATAACTATAGTAATTAAGAATTTAAACCTAAAATAAATAAAAAATTAGTTCTAAATTTTTATGACTTGATTACCATTTAAAAAATTAAATAACATTTATTCTTGAAAAAAAAAAAGGAGAAAGGTCTAATTTCGATTTAGTTTTATCAATCAACTGTCCAAAATCTCATGGAACTTTCAATAAATCGAAAAAAGGGTGATATTTGAGTGGTTTTACTTTTATCAAGATCTCTGTTTCTTCTTATCAGAAGACCTCCATTGATGAAGAACTCGTAAACTGGGTGGAAAAGCAATTATTTGCATCTCATGAATACGACGAAGGCTGCGGCATTGGGAGTAGAGAATGTTTGGATTGAGATTGAGTGCGAGAATCCAAATGGGCAAACAGGAGCTGATGAAACCGACGAATCCGCCGCCCCCCATTTCCTTTCATTGTGATCTGAGCCGGTGAGCCCAGATCATCCGTCTGTCAAGCTTGTTTCTCACCGACACAAATTTCATGCGTCGCATAGTAGACTTTAATGTTATTTTATCATGGGGGTAAAAAAGAAGGGGGGAAAAAGATTCTTCAGGGTACGATATGTTAATATCCTCTATCAAATCAGATATAAAACCACTTGTGAATTTTACCTGAGATGACGTGACTAGTCTACACAAGAAAAAGAAAAGTCGTCGTGTCATATTATTACTGGAGAACACTACAAGAAAGTTTGGTATTATAATACAAATTATGTTTTTAAAAAATTAAAATTATTTTATTAAAAATTAATTTTTTTATATCTTTTAAATCATTTTGATTTATTAATTTTAAAAATAAAAAAAATATTATTTTAATATATTTTAGTATAAAAAAACACTTTAAAAATAACCGTAACCATATTCTTAAATAGACCCTACATCTCAATTCTTTTTAGGATTTGTTTTGAATATTACTGGTGTTTTAATAAAAAAAATTAGCATAATAAATTTAAAAATTTAAGAAAATAATACTATCTGAAAAAAATAGTAAAAAAACATAGTTTAATCTTGTCGCATTTCTAAAGCATTATATTCATTAAATATTATACTTCTAAAACACTGAAATTACATATTGCACTTTTAAAACACAAACACTTAAAAAATTATACTTTATAAGCATAAAACTAATTAAAACTTAAACAAATTGAACACACAACGAGATGAATATATAAACAATAGTAGTCTCACAAATATATTTTGAGATGGTCAAGATATATTATCCAGATTGGATAATATGATAATTCGATTATAGACAATACATTCTAGTCGATATCAATACAAGTGATGCTTTGCACGTTATTACTTATAGGGATATAAATGATGATTACAAGTGGTTAAGCTATCATAATGCTTATGTATTACAATAGGATGCACAAAGAATAAGATATTTATAAAAATGTATCATGTAATTAACTGACAAGGATTATATAATTTTTTATATAAGTATAACACAATGGATTATTGTTCTAAATTCTAAGCATATTCCTCTATTTGGATATATGCAGTATAAACAATATTTCCAATGGATTTAATATCACAAGTAATAAAATCTTTTTATAATTAATATATGTTAACAATTAATTTTTATGTATTTATATTTTAATTTAATATTAATATTTTATTAATATTATGTTGACTTCTTGCCACAAGAGGGTTAAAATGTTGTATATCTTATCTTTGTAGTACTGATAAAGAAAACAAAGTTTACATTATAGCAGGTGGTTAAATGTTTATCGTATTAGATTTAAAACCTTTGGAGAGAGGCAAAATCTTGATAATGTCATGGTAGAGGACAATGTTACTCTAGATTTGGTCGTGCTACTAATAAGCCTAAATCATCTAGTAGACAACGTAGATATAGATAAATAAATGTGTTATATTTATATATTTTAAAAATATTTGAATATTGTATTATTAAATTATTTTATATTTATTTTGCATGTGTATATATAAATATGAGAATATGTTGAGTTTAGTTAGAATTTATTAATTGCGGTTATTGTGATTTTTTTAAATGGGATAAAATTTTAGATATAATTCTTATATAGAGAAAACTTTTTTTAAATTTTGATAAAATTATAAATATTTTAACTCTCTAAAATAATAAAGTAAATAAAATTTTAGATTTAATTCTTATAAAGAGAAAACTTTTTTTAAATTTTGATAAAATTATAAATATTTTAACTCTCTAAAATAATAAAGTAAATAAAATTTTAGATTACTAAAAACTATAATTTTATAAATTTTTAAGATTAAAACATGAAAGTTTTCTCAAAATTTTATAGTAGTCAAAACAGACTATCTCTTTTATTTATAGTAAAATTATTTTATTAAATATCTATTTATTTTTTAAAAAAAAATTAAAAATATCACAAATCATAAAACAGGGCAGGTGATCTTTTGGGTGCTAATTGCATAATTTAGCCCCATTTATTGGGATTTGTTATAATAGGGGTGAAAAATGCTAAAGCTAGCTGAGTATAATATGGGATCATTTATGGCCGGTCTCAACCTTATACGCCGTTCAAGGCACGTGATCTTGGTTTCTACTGCATTTCCGAGACCGATTCCCGCAAAATTATGCCAACCACGATCCAGTATTATTCTCTCCCATAAAATGTCTCTCTGTCTTTATAGATTTTACATTAAAGGTGGCGAATGATCGGATAGAAACTCGCATTCCTTCAGTTCTCTGTATCTCACACAATCACACCTAGAAAATCAAAGCAAGGAACATGAGTTCAGAATAAAATACGTTCATTCTCAGTAACTCTGGAATTTGGAAAACATGCATGTGACCAAACGTTCGAGCATAGCATCTCATATAAGCTCAACTCCAAAGATAAATAAATACCAGAAGACAGGACAATCTAAGCTTCGAAGAGCTACATTTAATTATTCACAACAAGTTCTTTACTAACTCCAAGATTCTTCAGAAATTGGAGACCAAACTGGCGACAAATCCATCTAATAAAACATCTGCTTGGATACATGTGGCTAGAAGGCCGTAGAGTAGGGGTAACTAATCGAATCTGTAACAGGAACTGGATTTCAATAAAGAACATTACAGTAGGGATTGCATGGGAATTACAACTTACATAATGAATAACAATATTTTTTTTTTTTGTCGTTAAAAATGAATTTATAGATAGATAAGTTGATCATATACTCAATATAGAATATTGTATTCTTCACCTCTACATTTTTGAAAAGATTCCCAGTACCCCACCATTCTTGTATTTTGAGATCAAAGTTTTGGACGCCTCATGAGTTGTTTACCACCTCTCCAAGAAGCCAATGAGCTGAAACCTTCAGGCTTCAATGACTTCTCTCTTTATGGTGGAAAACATGTATCAATACAATTATGATTCTTTTGGTAAGATCATCACGCAAGTCACCAGCAAAGGGATCATTGTGCAAGCAAGCATGCAATTTAATGAAATCATAAAGATTTTGTTTAGGAATGACAAGTTATCAAAAGTGGTTGAATACATGCTGTAGATAAGGGGTAAGGTTTAGTCTCTTGTAAGAGCCAAGAGCCAAGTTAATAGGTGCTATCCAATAACACGTAAACTTAGAAACTAAGAACAGAGCTCAGAATTAAATTCTATCTTGTCATATGCCACTGTTAAAATAAAAAAGAAATTGGAACACCCACTGTCAAATATTCTCCAATACAATAAGACCTAATAGGTTAACAATGGAGAAGAAAACTAGTGGAGTCAAATGTTTGTCACCATCATTGGTTTACAGGTATCATAGTTTATTTACTCGCAAATTCCTCATTCCATTGATATTGTTATGTACTTCAACCATATATATTCAAGTGTGCGGCCACTAGTATCTTCGAATGCAAAGGATGTCAGGTTCCCCGTTCCTGGCAAAAGACTGTTCGAAGCTTAGCATCTTACTGACAGAAATATATACAATCGAACAGAATATCTGTACATATACAGGTGGATATTGACAAAAACAAATTCAGGAAATAAGTTATAACCTCAACCGACTGTAAAAACCAAAATTGTAAGGGGAGAAAGTCTCCAAGCTCCTTACTTGAATATCTACAACAAATTTGGCTAATGGATACTTTACAAGTTGCCTTCCAGAAGAAAAGGGTTCTGCTGACTCCTCTGTATCTGCACCGAAGATAATAATAGTTGTTTGCATTAGTTGTTTCAGCAAGAGTGAAAAAGGCAAGGTGCATTGTAGGGAGAATGGGGTAGAAGCTCACCTTTAAAAAGACAACTCGATCTCGGAGTTTGTAGCACATTGTCACTTTACATGATATTGACATCAACAAGATCCCTATCTGTCAGCTCAATTAACTGTATCAGATGCCTCTACTATGCCAGAGTTCTCCCTAGAGAAGAAAAAATTAGTTCATCTTTGAACAGTATCTCATTTGACAATGCCACTCTCGATTCGAGTTTGTAAGAAGCTTTTGGACTCCTTATGAGCACCCAGTTTTGAGTTGTCATTTTCTGTTGATTTCTTCATTTCTATTTCTAGCTGCTTGCAGTTCTCCTCATTGGCTTTGTGGAACAGTCGCACAAAATTGAACAGTGTTGATACAACTGCAGAAGTATTTTAAAGAGTTATAAGATGGACTCTGAAAACGATTGCACTGTCAGCTCCTCAAATTAGGCACTAATGACCATTGATGTAGATAATTGGAAGAAAACTGATGAACTTCAAGATGAAGCTTTGTCACAAAAACGAAGATTCTGTACATCTTCAGCACATGAAACAGTGCATAAAACCTCTAGATCCAAAGGTGGTAACAATCAGGATCAATACAAACTACAAAGGTAACGAGACTGGGTTTCCTAGGAAGTATCATTCAGATAAATCAATGTGACATAATACAATTATGATTATATATAACATGAAGTGTCAGTATTTGAGCTTCCTATCACTTTGCACCCATGATGGGTGGATTGGTTAGAAACACAGACAAGGAGGTCTTTGCTGGATTCCCGGACTGGTAAATTTAGCACCAGATATGACATCCATTTAGGTTGTGCTTCGTTCAAGGTTAAAATTAGAGGTTAAGTAAGGGTGTAGAAAAAGTGGTTGAAGGGTGCAATGTTAAGGATGTTTGGTAGGTGTATAAAAAATCTGTAATGGTGGGGCCCGATAAATTTTAAATTCAGTATAATTAAAATTAAAAAATACTACTAAATAGCGTACATTGATGGGACCCAATAGTTAGGTGTAAGAAAAAGAAGAGGGAAACTGATTGATGAGTTTGAAGAAACACAATGCACAAATCCCAGAGTTTCCCCGTTCCCTACTAGGTTAAAACTTCTAAGTGTTAACACCCTTAAAATTCCCCACTCCTAAAATTTTCCAAACAGGGTTAAAGGAGTTCACAGTTAACACCCTTTAGCCCCAATCAAACATGACCTTAATGCAGTTGATAAAGACCTTCATTCAAGTACCAAAACCCAATTAGACAGGACAGACCTTTGCAATCTAGAAACCAGCAAGTGTGTGCGCGGTACAAGATGCATCATTAAATAGAATTAACTAACAACAATCTAATGCGCTAAAAAAGATTCATATGATAAAGAACAAGCACTGCCATATTATGAAGATATATTAGGCAAAGATTTCACTTTTTTTTTATCAACAATGAAAAGGTCTATAGCACAACAAACTGCTATAGATAACAAATACCTTGTTCAAAGGGACAGCGTGCTGGATCTTCTCCAAAATAAAGAATCAATGCATCCACATTTCTACCCTGAAATAACATCAAACTCCAGATAAAAAGAAAAAAACGTAGAGTAATAAACACTAAATTAGCACAAGTCTCCAAGCAAAGTTTTAAAACCTACCACTCCAGAGTACAAAGAAGCCAAGGATCTCACTTCAGCTTCAGCAAAACGAAGGAACTCCTTTAAAACCTGAACAATGGAAGATAAGCTACATGAGAAAAATTTATAAATATGCTAGAACAAACATGTGGAGGCATGCCTGTGCTAACAAACACATGTAGAAAGGAGTCTTAGAAAAACCAAGCTTAGAAATTATGACATTTAATCACTCAAAACCAAACCACATTCTCTCTTAGGGAATCCGAATACATCTGTCCTTTATGCATCAAGGTTTCATTAATTTCCCATTACTAGTACTTGAATCAGTTCTAATTTGGAGTTCATTCTAACATCACAGTAGAACATATTTACTCCACATCTAGCTACTGAAATTGGAGTCCAATCCAAAATCACCATCTTATCTTATCAATATGGGTAAATCTTTGCCCAGAGATTCATTACCTGATCTAGTAACAATAAATCATGTCTGGCAGTCATATAATAACCCATTTCAATGTGCTCATCTTGAATCTAATCCCATGCATGTCTAATATAACTAAAAAATATATCCCTCCTCACTGACAACTAGCCAAAAGAGGAGGATCTTTCCCTCCAAAGGTCAGAAAATTGTAATTGGTATTGCGGATTCAAAGCAGCATGTAAACAATATGTGTGGGCGTGCTAAATATACATATTTACCAAACTCTTTATTATTGTTCCTCTTCTTCATACATAACATTTCTAAATTGCCCAGAGTCCTATTATTATATCTAAGGCAAAGATTTACTTGCATTGAGACCTTTATGTTAATCTAAGCCCTTACCTGAATCGATATTGTATTAAAGCTTGCTTTAAGAAAAATATGTGATCATAGAAACAATATTTAAGCTTGAATACGGAGTACAAATTAATCTACTTAGGAAGCAAAGAATTGCATTTGATAAATAAGTAACAATGGACAAAATTGTTTTCTCACATATGCCTGACGAAAAACATCAGCTGATCTGCAGTACCTTACAGAAATTATCTGATATAGGACCATCACTTTCTGAGGCAGACAGTTCCTGTACAACTTTTTCCAGTCCTTTGCTTATGGCTTGCATTTCCTCTGCCAAAAATTTCAATTGTATCTAGATGGAAAACCCAAATTTTAGTCACAAGATAGTGGCTTTTCCGAATGCCTTGAAATGATCAACAAAACCAACAGTTGTACCTTTGTTGCAGGTTCCAAACTCCCAAGATCTTTTGAAAAATCTAGAAGTTCTGGTAGCTTGTCAGCAAGTACCTGCAACATGTCAAGCAGAATGTATATGATTTGCATAAAATTCTGAGATAAGCAATAGAAAGTTCAATCCTCAGTATGGTGGTAAACATAACATCTATAAATTTGTGGCACATAACATAATCTCATTTCCATTGATATGCCTCTGAAAACAGAAAATAGAAGTCATGTCTACTGCAAGTTCAAACAAAATAATAACAAAAGAACAGATCTCTTGGTTCTGGAAAAACGGGAATCAAAACAGGACCAGAAAAGCAAAGATAACAGAAACAAATTAATGGGTCAGTTAAGTCCCATGGGTATAGTTGGCATGGTTCAAAACCATGCATTGACTTTATAACATATATTAGAGCATATGTGTATACTGTATACAATCATATAAAACAGGTATACAAAAATTTCATGTTTTAGATCTCACTTGTTAGGTTCAACTGTCTTTTTTATACATGTTTACCAGGCAGTGTCATTAAAGTAGGCAAGGTCAATCCATCTGTTAATTCTAGGTCAAAAGCCAGTGTAAAATACATCTTTCTTTTCCTAAATAAAGTACGAACTTCAATTGTGGTTTACAGTCGTTACAGACAAATGAGATAATGCACTTAAAGAACAGGTGGGCGTATGGGTAGCTCATTTTCAGGTTATCCAGCTAGGAAAGAAATTGAGTTGAAAAGCCTTTCCAGGAAAATAGAATAAGGTGGCAACCAAGCGTAATACCTATCTTGCTCCCATTCTCTTGAATGAATTTCCCCTAATTTATCGATTGAAGAAATACACTTAGTAGTACAAAAACATATGCTATGAAGAAGCATGCACATAAGAATGAGATGTGAAAATGACAGCAGGTCTCCAAAGAATTCTCAAATAGTTAAATTAAAAGTTAGTTTCATAGGAACAACATTAAAGCATCAATTTGTACCTTGCAAAGATAATGCATGAGAGTCATCTTGTTGTTCCTTGCCCGCGTATCAGTTAGTTTAAGAAGGCTATCCAATCTAAAACCAATAGCTGAACCTAAACGAAAAGAGAGAATTTCCTATTCAACTAAAGGAATAAAAAGCAGTTACCAGCTGCAAGGGAAAACAGTGCTGCAAAATGAATATCAGGTCACAGGACAAGAAACTGCAAAGGTTTACAACAAAATGTGCACAATACCATGAAAACAAAACCCTCTTAACTGATATCAAATGTGAGCACACATATAGCCAGCATCAAGATGCAAAACAACCGGATAAATTGGGTTTGGTAACCCAAGATTTATAAAAATATATATATAAAAAAAAGAACTCTCAAATGTAGAATAAGCGGTGGGGATACCAAACTTACACAACTTATTACACAAATATATAGACAAAGATGACGGAGGATGGCTCAGCCTGTCACTTTTTTATTGGAAAACCAGGCCCATTCAGACATATTACATTGTATTTTTTTTTATTTGAGTTATAATTTAGGCTTTATTTATATTGGATAGTCTTATTTAGTGGACCGAGCCCAATAACTGGTCTTTTTATGGCTTATTATTTATATGTAATTTTTTCAGAAAATTACATTCAGTTTATGATTTGATAAAATGGCAGACCTTTCCTTCACTGAATTCTCTCTTTCTTTCTAGCTGTTCTCTTATTTGCTTTTAACTCTTAACTTTTAATCTTAGCATCTTTCTCTATAAGTTCTTTATTTCCTTGCTTTAAATTTTTTAGTTTATTTTCCCTCGCATCAACTTTGTTATCATAATATAGACTTTCAATTGTTTTTACAATTAATCAATCAAATAAAAAGATTGTGCAAATATTCAAAATTCAACACAATTTATAAATCGTAAATCATCATCAATCTTCAAATTTGTTTCTTTTAGCCTTTCTTTTACAATCCAGATCTTTTTTTTTAAAAAAAAAAAAAACTATTCAAACACACCCTTAGTTTTACAAAAACCCTAAGCTAGTGTTCACCTTCCTCACACCTCAACAAACCTAAGCCCGCTGTCAAGTCCATTCAGACTAGGCCAACACAACAACGGCAACCACCCACACCAACAAATCCTTCAGCAGTACCATATCAACAAACAAAGACCTATTGTCACCGTCGTTATCCAAAGATTCACTTTAATTCATTTCATCACAGCAATTGATCATCTTCTCCACCCTATGCAATTAGCACAACGAAGGAAGATCCCCCAACAACACCACCACAACAAGAAAAAAACCCACAACCACAACTACTACTTTGTTCAGCCAGTTGATAGTTCCACCTATCATCACCACAGTCGTGAACATCTATCAGAGCAGTCACGCAACTGTTGTGATGCAAAGAAATTTCTTCCATATTTTTGGAATAATAATTTGTATTGTATTATTTCATCAATGTTTAAGATTTCTAGGTTTTGAAGAGTTTAAGAATAATCTAAAATGTAGTTTGGTAAATCAAGTATAAATTTTATCATTGGATCGAGTTAAAATTTTAACAGAAGATTATGAAGGCTTTGTTTCTTATAAAGTTAAAATTTCATGTTGATCAAAGATTAGAAGAGCTTTAAATAAAGCTTAAAAGTTAATGTGCAAGGTTGTCTTTATGTATATGGATTTTTTTTTTTCTATTTAACTAAGGACTTTTAACTTAATTAGTATTTTACTATTTAGAAATCCTAATGCTAGAAGGATTCTATTAATTAAGTTTTAATTATGAATCTTTTTTATAAAGAATTTTAGTTTTAATTAAGAATCATTTCCCATAAAAGATTTTAAAACTAATATAAATAGGCATGTCTAGTTTATTTTGATAAGAGAATTATTATTAAAACTTCTTCTAAAATACCAGAAAGTTTTCTCTAAATCTCTCTACAACTTAGATCTATAACCTTAAAGCTTGAGAATCCTAACTTCTAACCATGCTATATACACCACATCAATTGATATCACAACAGGTTAGCCTCTTTGATAGACGAAGATGACAACAACTCACTCTGCAATGCAGGAGTGGAGGCCTTCTAGGTGTTATGCGGGCTCAAAAGTATACACTAGATAGTTTGGAGCAAACCATAGCAGATCTAGCTCTGCTAATGGTTAACACAAACATGGATCGTGAAAAAAAGAGGAGCTTTCTTGGAGACTTACCTCGAGACAGGCCAAACCTCGGATCTATTACTGAATCTGATGAGATTTCATTATATGATGAGAGATATTTAAAGAAAAGGTTTATTAAGTGGTTGATACAATTAGAAGTTTACTTTTATTTCAACAAGATTCCTTATCATAAAAAAGTAGGACTTGTCGTACACAAAATTTCTTATAGTGCTTGAGAATGGTGATTTGAATTTCTAGATTTTAAAACTCGTATCGGTATACCTTTAATTTCATCTTGACAAGAATTTAGGCGATCATTGATTTTAGAGTTTATACAAAGATGATTATGAAGAGATTTTATATTAGGTAGATAAACAAATAGATGATTATTGTTATTATTATTATTATTATTATTTGTCTTATGTTCAACCTTCTCCAAAAGCAAGGAGAAAAAACATGGAAGAGATTGGTGAAAGCATAATTTCAAAGTTATCTAATCAAATTGAAGAGTTTGGTAACGTAATCCACTTAGACTTAAAGTTTATTTCTCACTGTAAATCATACAGTGTATCATGGGTTAACAACACCTCAATAGCAATCAAAGATAGATGTTTTTTTCCTAGATGAAAGTTGGTGTGAAGTGATTCCCATTGATGTAGGACATGTCATTTTGAACAGGACTTGGTTATATAATTTAAATATTACCATCTTTAGTCAATCATATTCTTGTTCATTCACTTTTCAAGATAAAAAGATTAAACTTATTAGATTACCATCAAGACTTAACAACAATAGCAAGAAGGAAGGAAAATGTGAGAAAATGAACTTAACATAATAAGTTCTAAGGAGTTTGAAAAAGAAGTTCACGAGGAGTATGTTGTGTTTGTCCTAGCTGCCAAAGAGGTTATTGAAAACTCTTCAGATGAGCCACCTAAAGAGTTAAGTGTAGTGTTGAAAGAATTTCAAGATATCTTTTCCTTCGAGCTTCCTGATGCAATACCTTCTATTTATGACATTCAACACATCATAAATTGTCCCTGGTACTATTTTTCTAAACCTGCCCCACTATAGAATGAATTCTATCAAACAAGTTAAATTGAAAAGACAAGATAATGAGTTATTACAAAAAGGCTTTATAAGAGAAAGGTTAAGTTTTTGTGTAGTACCCACCCTCTTGAAATCTAAGAAAAATGGTTCTTGAAGGATGTGCGTCGATATTCAAACCATCAATAGAGTTAAATATCGTTTCCCTATTCCTAGATTAAATGACATGTTGGATAGGATTGTAGCAGCTCAACTTTTTTCTAAGATTGACTTAAAGAGTAAGTATTATCATATTAGAATTTGTCTCGAGGATGAATGAAACACTACATTTAAAACCATAGATGAATTGCACGAGTAATTATTTTTGTTTTTTGACATTTCTAATGCACCCCGTATTTTTATGAGAGAGATGACACGTGCTTAAACCTTTCATGAAAAAGTCTTTAGTGGTACATTTTTATGATGTCCTCATTTATAGCAATGTCAAACAAGGGCATTTGGATCACCTCATTTAAGTCTGCACCGTCCTAAGAAAGGAAAGTTTGTTTGTTAATGTCAAAAATTGTTCCTTCTTCACCATCAGGGTGATTTTCTTAGGATTCATAGTAATGTATGAAAAAATCTCAGTTGATCCTAAAAAAATCCAAGCAATTATAGATTGGCCTAAGCTCGTGAACATTCATAAGGTTCTTAGTTTTAATGGGCTTGCTATCTTTTATCGTCAATTTATCAAAGGATTTAGCACTATTATATCTCTCATCACAAATTGTTTGAAACAAGGTAGCTAGTAAGGCATTAAAAAGATTAAAAAGAGGATGACAAAGACTCTAATTATGCAACTTCCTGACTCTATTAATGCATTTGAAGTAGAGTGTGATATGTTGGAAATTAGAATGAGTGGTGTACTTAATCAAGAATGTCACCCAACAACCTATTTTAGTGAGAAGCTTAATGAGATTAAACAAAAGTACTCAATTTATGATAATAAATTTTATCTTCACGAACACCACCCTTCACGTAGACAAGTGGTTGTCTAGGTAGATTTTCATAAATAGGTCTAAAGTAATGTCAACCCCAGGTTAAGTCTCCAAGCACATTCCTCTCTTTGTGGTTCATGTATATGCCTCTAGTTAGTCAAAATAGACCCATGAACTAGTTCAAAGAAAGGCTGGTTGCAGGCTTCATCCTCGACACATGCCTCTCTTCTTCCCTAGTTCTTGTTTCCGCGTAACCCTATCATATCAAGCCTAAATGTAAGATCATTAAATCTGACATTGATCGTCAATCCCAGTTTGCATTCGCCCCTTTAAAGTTGTTATCGTTACTAAATGACAATCTAACTAATCCCAAATAGCCTACATCCCCTGATCACCATTGTAGAGATGGTTGTCACCAACTGCTTCACGATTATCTTCACAATTCACCATTGATCCAGATGTTGACATACTTTGATACTAACTAATGCAATGTATAACGAAGATAAAACTAAGATTCTCAAACCCTAAGGTTCTCTGATATTTTTATTAATTCTAAATAATAGTCTTGATCTCTAAAAATAGATTAGATATCCTTATTTGTATTAGTATTAAATTGTTTTTAAAAAAATAATGCTCAATTAAAACTTACCTAATTAATAGAATCTATCTAGCATTAGGATATTTAAATAGTAAATTTTTAATTAAATTAAAAATCCTAAGCTAAGTAGAAAACAATTAATTAAAATCCAAAATCAACTAGGAAAAAAATTAAAATAGAAAAACAATAACTTCAGGCTTCATATAAGATGCTTCTAGGTTTTGTTGCGAACTTCTTTTTAGGCTTGACCTTGTTAATCTTGTCCATAAACTCTTAGGATAATTATTCTACATCAATAAGACTCTAGTATCTTCAAATAAGGAATCCTATTCTTGTGAGTAAATGAAAAACACCAAAATGTCTTATCTCTGATAATCATAATCCATGAACTCCGCAAAAGTAATCCAAAACCTAATTGATAAGCATGATTTATCTTAATGGCTATGAGGAACTACTCATTGAATATGGCTTAGATAATCTTAGTACCAAGGAGTGGTCCATTGTTGGTCACCCATGCATTTTTCGCATTTTCATCCGGTAAATAACGATTAATAAGCAAAGGTTAGAAGAAATGACTAATTATTACAATAATAATAATAGACATGCCTTCATTAACTACTTTAAAGAAATAGATAACTGCCTTAAGGTGCTAGTAGAAGTGTGGGATGAAGTAACGAGCTTTCAAGAATAATGTTAGAAGAATACCAATTAGCAAACCTTCCCATTTTATGGAAATGAACTAGTCCATAAGTATGAAAGGGTTTTCTCTAATCAATGAAGAAATATTTATCAATAAAGGAGAATAGCAGAAATATGACTATATAGTTTTTTTCAGGAATCCTTCTATATAAAACAAATGCAAAAATAGAGTTTTTCAAATCCAATTTAATACCACAGCTAAAACGATCCTATAGGAAACAAAATAAAGAATTCCTTTCTGTCCAAATACACCAGATAACCAAAATCGGTGCATGTTTCCCAGAAATTTACAAGCTTTCTCCATTTCAAAACCTGTTAATGACCTAATAACAAAACCTTCTAGAGTTTGTGCAAAAACCCACCATTCATCAAAAAATCCAGATGATGGAGGACCCACTAAGGATCTCATTGCTTCTATGCTAGAAAGAAAAATCTATTATATATTTTTTTTGAGCACCTACTGTTATGTTTTGAGGCTGCTTTGGATGTTATTGAAATTAAGCTTTCTCATTTTCTCTATCCCTTGTTTTTTAATCTCTCATCACCTCTCTTTTCTCTCCCTCTTTACTGTGCTTTTCCTATCTGTCATCAGCAGAAAGACTATTCCACATGCTCCAAAAACACCAACTGCATAATTCACCATCTAAAATTAGCAAATGAAATGTACTTTAAAATTTTCCACATGGAGAGGGAAGCCCTCACAGGACCCTTAATAAGTCTACTATTTCCCATTAACATATGTGCCCACATGCAATCATTGGATCAGAAAATCTTTATAGCTCCAAGTATACGAGAACTACACCATAGCAAGATGGCAGACCAGTGAAAGATTCTGCTTACCCCTAGCAGTTCCCTGATTCAAAGCATTTCCTAGGGAAAGAATAGTCTGCATGATTCTCTTCAATTTGGCAGAGTTCTTTATCTGATAAAGAACCGTTAACAAGAATGGTTCCAAAATTTAGAACATGTGAAATAGTACCCAAAAAAATAACATAAATAAAGAGAGAGTGTATATAGTATAACTTGCCTCTTCTGCTGCAGAGTTCACAACATTCAGGCTTCTTCTTAGGTCAGAAACCTAAAATTGCAAACAGAAAAGGATAGGCTCAAATCAAACATGAAACCAGGCATAACAAGGTAGCGATCACTTGAATGCATTTTTAAACCTGGGAATGAAACTGCATCTTGAATGAGAAAACTCTGAGTTTAGATTCCACTCTTGGCACCTTCATCAACTCTAAGAAGAACTGCCAAAAAGATCCATAAACTTACTAAATAATAAATACATGCCAAAAACAATTATTTCAATTAAACACAAATTCTCTCATTCTCTGGTTGACTCTTTCTCATGGAAAACAGTGGGTACCCCGGCATATTTAACTAAATAATGCAGCCATGCTAATTGAGAACATGGAGATAGATTTGAATCATAGGAATTGTATCAACAATGCAACCTCAAACTCCTATGAATGTTGGTTTTGACATAATGAAGAAAAAATATATATTTAAAACATACCCAGGTTACCCTCTCACAAATCTAAACACTATCAACAAAAGACCATGACATCAATACACAACAAAAAAACATTGAGTCCATCCAAAGTTCAACTGAAAGAAGTAGCAATTTTGAGATAATAACTGACAATTGTAAAGGCAAAGACAACTTTAATACTGACCTGTTCACATTTTCCTAACTTTTCCTTTTCTCCAGTGTATCCCTGGACATAGAAATGAGAAGGCAATTATAGCCCACAACACATGAAAGTTTCATCTTGAAGCTCCTAACTTTTTGTAATCAATTAGAGCCCAAGGGACAGTCAGACAAAATTATTGAGTTGAAAACTATGATTATAAAATACAGAATGAAAAAAAGTGCTATCCCAATTATGAACCCGCCAAAATGGAGTCATAGAAAGAAGTGAAGACAATCCTACTTGTGAACATTTTTTAATGGATGGCTGGCCCAAGATTTGAATATGCACCCTTGTGGTTGCAAGTGCAAACCAGAAATAGCCCTAAATGATAAATGATAGAGCATAATACTAAACTTTAAAAAAAAAAAACACTCACCTTAAGAAGTTCCATCTCCTCTTTTGTTGGACAGAACTTTATGAGGTTATCAACCTGATCAACGTCTAATGCTGAATCCTCGAGGAGAAGTACTAAACTCTGTCAATGTATCATGCAATGGAATGAGGACAGTGAAATATTATGTTGTATGGTTGTGACTGAAAGCGATAACTAGCAGAAAATAAAGAAAACCATTGCAGACACACAAACATTTTATAGAAAGAGCAAGAACAAGAAGGAGAGAACAAGCAATGACACGAATGGAAATTTCAATAATGCTTATTGTGTGATTTACAAGTCCTAGATCTCAATAATGCAATCTGACTGTCATTGCAAGGGATAGAATTTCTTTTTCAAAATTGTAAAAGAGATTCCAAATAAACACGCTGGCATAACTATTGAGAAGATATTAAGCAGGATGACAGTAATGAAAGCTATAGAAATGCTAGTATTGGCATAAGGAGTATCATGATTTCTTAGGAGAACATGCATTTGAGTTCTGTATATATTTTATTTAAGGTTCTTTTATGGCTGCATGAGTAAATAATTGTAGCTACAGTAGTTACAATGTGTTTGGTGTTGTGGTCTTGGTCTACAAAAGCCAATCTGGGTAGTTTCCCAAAGCATCAACGGCAGTGCTTTTCCAGAACACCTAAAATGCATTCAAGGTCTTGAAGCATGCCAAACACGTTCAGAGAATGGCATAATTCACAAACATTATCCTAGATATGACATATCATTTGTGTTGCTGAGCATATATGGGTAGAGAAGGAGATAATAAGTTGACTTCCGGATTCATTTATGTTAAAAGTGCTATACCAGTAGCCTTACTCTTATATTCAGCTTACCATTAACTCATGTGGCGGCACTTTCACCTTTGAAAGCATGATCTCACAATTGTATGCTCGTCTATGGTCAACCTGCAAGAAAAGAATAAAAAGGAGAAAACACAAATACCTAGATACACACATACGATATACCCCCTCAGTTCCATTTCCATGACATAAAAACTGAAATGCTGAAACTTTTCATAAAATAATATGTTATGGGTTAGCAAAAGAATATATTACTGATCTTGTATTATGACCCATAACAGGAGGTTGCTTATGTAACCTTTAAACCAAGATGCTTCAACCACAAGAATGACAAATAGACTCTTACAACAAAATTGCCAAGAAGTCAGGATGATAAAAGCAAGGTAAACGTGGATAATTTCAGGTAACAAAAAGAAATTGTAGCAGTCATGCATTACACCAGTTATGGGTGAAGTATTCATTTTGATCTTAGGACTGTCAAAAATTAATAAATAACAACAGCAGTCTGTGGATTGAAAGAAAAGGATTGATCTACACTTTTTCAACTGAGAGAAAAAAGGTGGCGATCATGCATTGTATCACTTAAGATAACATATTAAATTACCAGTTGCACTTTTTCAACTTTAGGTCCCCGTGAGCCCCGCACACTTGATTTCCCGCCATGACCTGTATTTGAAACTGCTGCAGAAAAAAGATTCTCGAGTTCTGACATGTCAATCTCTGGGGCCCTATGTGAAGAGATCACAAAAGGAAAGGTGTAATACTTAAAGAATATGAGAGCATGGTATAACATAAATTGTTTGGAAAGCAGCACATACTTGGAGGCTTCACCAGACTTTTGTGCCTCAGCCCATAAGCTTCCTTGTACAGCTCTTGTTAACTTCAACCAATGCAATGGCTTCAACTTTTTTGTCTGACTGGTCCGTGAACTTATAGTACGAGATAAACGTCCCTTGGGCATGGAGGGGGAACCTAAGGGTGGTGCAGGAGATGGAGGCCCAGGCAATTTATTATGTCCATTGGTGCTTGTATTTAAAGTTCCCTTACCATAAGGAACAGAAGGAGGTGCAGAAGGAACACAGGAGGAATTGGTTGACATAGTAGGAGGCAGTGGTGGGGCTAGTGGCATCCGAGATGAAACTATTGGCCCAGTAGGTGGTCGTAAATGAGGGGGAGGGGGAGGGGGAGGAGGTGGAGGTGGACAAGGTCCAGCTCCAATAGCATGTTTCTCCTCCAAATGTAGAGGTGGAGGTGGAGGAAAAGCTCCAGCTCCAATGGTGCTATTCTCCTTCAAAGGTGGAAGAGGTGGTGGAGGTGGAAGAGTTCCAGCTCCAATGGTTTTATTCTCCTTCAAAGGTGGTGTTGGAGGAGGTGGAGGAGGTCCAGCTCCAACAGTGATTTTCTCCTTCAAAGGTGGAGGTGGAGGTGGAGGTGGAGGAAAAACTCTAGCTCCAATGGTGCTATTCTCCTTCAAAGGCGGCAGAGGTTGTGGAGGTGGAAAAGTTCCAGTGGTTTTATTCTCTTTCAAAGGTGGTGTTGGAGGTGGTGGAGGAGGTCCAGCTATAACAGTGCTATTCTCCTTCACAAGAGATGGTGAAGGTTCAACTCCAACAGTGTTATTCTCCTTCAAAGGTGGCATTAGAGGAGGTGGAGGAGGTCCAGCTCTAACAATGCTATTCTCCGTCACAGGAGGTGTTGAAGGTGGAGGAGATCCAACTCCAACAGTGCTATTCTCCTTCAAAGCTGGTGTTGGAGGAGGTACAGCTCTAATGGTGCAAATCTCCTTCAAAGGTAGCATTGCAGGAGAAAGAGGGGTTGGACATTCAGTTTTGACAGTGGAATTATCCTCCTTAAAAAGTAGAGGTGGTGTTGTTGGTGGTGGTGTTGTTGGTAGATCAATTGGTTGGTGGCTGACTGATAATGACTTACCTCTGCCTTCTAAATGGGTTTCAGTCTCTTTGACTGATGAAGGATCTGATGGTTCTGAAGCTGAAAGATGAAGAGTTGGTGGTGGATGAGGATGAACTTTTACGACACTAGAAGTCACAGCAAGTCCCAATGGTAGAGGCTGTGCAGGTGTTGATGGTGAGATAGAACCTCCTTTAGGTTCCATGAGTTCAATTCCAGCTGAGACTGTCAAAGCTTGTTCTGAGGAAGCTGTAGATACTGTGGCATTAGTGACTGCAGATTGGCCAGCAAGTTCCTTTCTAGGACTCGTTTCCTGCTTTTGAGTGCTGATCTTTACTCCGTGCTGCAAATCTGCACTTGAGTTTTCCTGAGCAATATTCGATGCACTAATTTGTTGGAGCACATTAAGCACAAAATCTGACTTGGGGTCTGACCATTCAACAGAGCTAAATATCTCTTTAACATTAGCAAATGCTTCCACAGGAAGGCCTTCCTTCTCCTCAAAGCCAGATAAATTTTCTGCAACTATTGATGCAGCAGCATCCATTTCAGAGAAAAGAATCTTCACCCAAAGAATAGAGTCCATGTTAAAAGATGGAGAAGAAAAGAATTCAACGAGAAATGCCAAATGAAATATGGTTGAGAATTAAACCTCTGCCCTGAAGTTCCTTGGAAATCGATCTTTTGCATCCCATAACATGTCAATTTCATCACGGTTAAGCATCAAGATGTTAGACCTGATAAATGCTGTGTTAAACACGGCTCGAAACATCATCTCTTCAAGTTCCATGTCATCATTTAAGCTGATACACTCAAGCACAACATCACCTTGTATATGGCAATTAATGTCAATTTTAACGAGTTCACATTCTATCTGCAATAAATTAGAAGGGGTTTCAGAAAATCATAAATATATTTAAAGGCAGGACCACTTTGTTTTTTGTAGAAAACATATGCCAAAATAAATAGCAGATAGAACAAATGAAGAAAAGTGAATCTTCCAACACAAAGAATAAGAAAAGCATTCAAGTAAAACCAAAAACTCTCAGGCAACTTTAACATCCCAAGAACCAAAACTATGTAGCAGACTCAAGCTCACTGCAGACGAAGCCTCTGGAAAATGAGCTCGATAACTAGTACATCATGAATTCAATATCATCCGTTCTCCCCAACTGATCAGTCTTCAGTTTCACAGTATAGGGACTAACAAAGAAAACATATTGTTTAGGTTAGCATGAATCGTATTTTGTCATTATTATTACGGTCACACAGTATTAGGTTCCTACACCTAAAATAATCAGACTGGTAATCATGGTGTCTGCAATCATCTTGGGACTGTAGATAAATACATTCCACTAGTTGGGTAGGTGTCACTGAACATAGATCCCAGGAATCAGTGCATCCATGACATTAATTTTTCTACGGATAAGCCTCTAAAAAACAGCTCCAGAAAGATTCAAGAAATATTTGTTCACCAGTAAACTATTGGACAATAAGAATGCCTGGCTTTAAATATCTACTAAAGAAAGGTCTTATCTTAGTAGATTAATATTTCCTAAGAATCATGTCCAGCAGTAATACTAGTGTCTTGTGATATTTTGGATTCCTCCGTCCATTCTGACAGTTTTCATATGTGTTAACTACTATTCTTGCTCTGTAAAATTCCACAATCCAAAGACATCATCACCATCTAAGAGTGCAAAGTGCGTTATTATTGCAATATAAATGTTGTCACATATGTTTCAACAGTCCGACTTATACAGAGAAAAACTTTGTAAAGATCAGCAAGAACAATGAAGATCGTACAAAAAAACGCAAACACATAAAAAAACATAGAATTATGAAGTTACCTGCTTATAAGCCCGGAGAATATTTCCTTTCTTTGGAGTTGAGTAAAGAAGTTTGGAAGTTTGATCAGAAACAAGAAAAGGGTCCTGCCCATATACCCGAAATAGGGGACAGCAACCCCCCTCTCCATCAAAATTAGGAAGAGATCTTAGGATAACACAATCCAAGGTCAGAACTCTATCCAATGGAGGCCATTCTGAGGCCGCATTCCTCCTGGTGACATACTGTAGATACCTCAGTTGAGAAGGTACATGATTAAATGGTGAGAGCAGCTGCAATAGCTCACGAGGCGCCTGCCTGTGAATCATGTCCAAGGTCTTCTGCTCTCCACTGTACTGTTTCCTGTAAATTAACAGTCCAGCCAGCATGAAAGCGAGAACCGGCCAACCACCACGTTCACAGTGCATTAACAGCATATTCTGCTGTCCAAGGGAGAGCCAACTTTCACCTGATCTTAGAAAATGGTGGATCATCTCCATCGTGAGCAATGGGGAACCCTCGTATTGCCAAGGGTACTCCATTAAGGTCATATCATTCTTGGACAAAGCATCTGCAATCTGGCTTTGTTTCTCTCCCTCGCGGAAATTAAACACCAAGAATGAAGCATCAGGGAAATGTTCTTTAAGTTGACTGACAATTACGCCTATGTAACCTTTATAATCTTCTTCTCGCCAGACATCAGTATTAAAGCAGCAATCAAACACTGCGTTTACACAGAATGTGCAAATATCAGTCATCAAATCAAAGCTTACCCCAGTTGCTATTTTAAGTCATAACTTCAACATGCCAACAAAAGTTTTATCTTTCCTAAAGGAACCTTATCATAACCCTCTTGAATCGAGGCATCAAGCCCCAAAAATTCACAATGTCAAAATCCCTACAATATAAAAAAGAATTCAATACTTTCTAAATTACCATTGTAATTAAGCTAATCAGTTTCCAATAGGCGCCCTAAAAATGAGTTCAACTTAAGAAAGTAATAATCAAAATTCACAAAACCCAAATTCCATTTTCTTAGCAACCTAACAGAAACGAACAAAATTTGAATCAAATCCACTTCAAAACACAACTCAATGATTCAAACACAATCAACCATTTTTCTCCATGAATAGAAAATGAACTTAAAAACAAAACAAAAATGCAATCTTTCTTAAAAACAAAGTAACAAAATAAAATTAAAAAACTGACCATAAACACGCTCGGAGATCTCAAGAAGGCCATCTGGGGGTTTCCTATAAAACAATTTGCGAAACAGTGACATCTTTCTATTACTCTCTCTCCTTCAAATCTCAAGCTTTCTTACAACAAGTACAAAAAAAAAACCTTGAACGTAACAAAGAGGAGTTTGGTTTGGTAGTAACAAAGAAATACAATTTTCCTTAATTAAAGTTGGCTTTAAGGGAAATAAAAGTGAAAGTTTTTGGGTTGTGGATTTTTGATTTGGTAGATGGGGTTGTTAGTTTTGTTCGTTACCATATAAAAGCTAAGTTGCATCAGGCAGCTGCTGCCTGCCCCTACCTAAATTTCATTTTCACTAATTATTACCGAACTGCTCGATGGGGATGGCATGGCGGGTTGTTTTGTCTTACGTGGATGCCATTTACAACCGACATCTAAGAAATTGTTGAGTTCATCATGCATGTAATCTTATACGAGGCTCTAACTTTGTTCGTGATTTAGTTTATTTACTGGTTTCCTAGCCCGCACTAGTCTGACCAGCTTCCATTTTTCATTTATGAGTTAAAATCTAACCAGCTTGCAGAGATGTTGGACGGCATAATTAGCACTTGATTAGCAGCACCATTTTCACAAAGTTGGATGGTAATTAATTCGATGAATCGATGGAGCATGTTGATGCGGGTTGCATCAAAAAATTTGAACATTAAAAAAACTATTTAGGTGTGAAGATTGTTTAGTATTGTTATTAAATTCGATCATTTGTGATAATTTTGAATTCTTCTCACTCCACTCTTTACTTAACCGAGTCCTAAATTAAAATTAACCCATGAAAGTTGTTTTTTACTTGATATAACAGACTTGAAGGGTTTATAAATAACTAAAATGATATATTATTTTTAATATTAAAATAAAAAAAATATTATATTAACTTGAATTTTAGAGCTTAAGATATCAAACTCACGCTTCTAATTATAGATTTCATTAAATTTAATAACTATACTTTTTATAATTGTTTTTCATTTAATGATATAATAATAAAGGTAGACTCTCATAAAATTAAATATCAATTAAATATTAAGACATTCATTTGAAACTGCAATAATTTAATAGAAAGTAAAACGAAACAAATTATAAAAATCAATTAAAATAAAATAAATCTTAAAGGATAAAATTAATAAATAAATAAAAAATCAATCAAAAGAAAGAAAAAACAAAAGATAGAATTAAAAAAATAAAAACTATTTGGTTTATTAAATTAGACCCGGTACGTCAATCCTGAAACCTCTTAACTTGATATGCAGCACGAGTTTAAAATTAACCCACATGAAAGTTGACTCTATATAATCAAGTTAATTGACAAGTTTAAAAATAATCTTGATGGCAAGTAAAAGCATGATTTGACTTTAAAAGAAATTCAAGATGGTATTTTCCTCTTTTTTTTTCTAATATTAAGACAATAGCATATTAAATTAAATCAGACTTTACAACTTAATTTATAGAACTTGCAATCAGAATTATAGACTCCAATAGATTTAAAATAATAAAATTAAAAAAATAGTTTGGTAATCAAAATAAATAAAAAAACCATAAAAGACAAATAAAAAAGAGGAAATTGTTTAACATGATAGCGCTATACAGGAATCTATAATGCTTTTATCATGTTTTTTAGTTATTTGTTGTTATTATTATTATTATCACAATTACCATCACCATTACAACAATCAAGATTTAATAGGATGAATTTTTTTTTAATAATTATGATTGAATTGTTTATAAAATTATGTTTGGTTAATGTGTTAGGACCTTAAAGAAAAAGTAGGACAAAAGGTGTTTGATTTAAAAAACAATGATATACATATAAAATAAATCTATTTTTTAATATTTTAAAAATAAATTTGTATACTTTTAAAACAATAAATAAAAGAAAATATATTCTCTTAATCCTCACCATTTTCGTTTTTTTTATCTAGAATCAAATAACTAATCACCACATGAAAGATGGTACATGGAATTGTCTTTCGAGAAGTGGGCTAAAAGCCTAATATCTATTGAAACATGTGTTTTTGTTTATGGAAGTAATTTCACAAATATTTGATATATTTTGCATATAAGAAAGAGGGTTTACAGACTGCTTTTACTAATATGAATTGAGTTTTGATCAAAATTTCTAACTTTTAGATGATGTTATGAAATTCATAATATCTTATTTACAGGTTAAACTCTTCCAAAATAATTATTACTATTACTACTTTACTAAAAGAATTAAAAAAAATTATGGTGTTTCATTATTCATATAGAAATAAAACATCTTAGGGTTTTTTAGTTGTTTTTATCTTTTTTTAAAAAAAAAATTTACCTTTCAAATTTTTTTATTTTATCATTTAATATTTTATTGATTTTGAATATAATTTCATCTTTTAATAATTTATTAATTTTAAATTTATTATCATTGTTTATTTTGATTTATTGTTTATGAAGTTATCATAGCCTTAGACTAACATCCTAATATTTAGTTGATGTTTAATTTTTATAAGAGTATTTTGTTATCATATCATTAAATAAAAAAATAACCATATTTTTACTAGTTATCTCAATTCTTTTTGGATCCATTAAGTCAATCAGGTCACCTAGAGTTAACTCTCATACATGTTATTTTAAATTTAGGCTAAGTAAGAAGTTGTGTTAAATTATTTAATAACAATGTCAAATATTTTTTTATTTCATCTTTCAATGGAGTTTTTTTTTTAATTTTTATATTAATTTTATCTTTCAATACTAAATTAATTTATATTGATATTTACAATTTATTTTGATTTATTTTTCTTGAGGTTATTGCATTCTCAAACAAATATCCCAATATTTGGTTGATGTTTAATTTTACGAGTATTTATTTTTTATATCATATTATTAAGTAAAAAATAATTTTAAAAAATAAAATTGTTAAATTAAGTGAAGTCTATAATCTAGGTCATAGGCTTGATGAGTTATACCATGAAATTTAAGTCTATTTAATATTTTATTATTTTAATATTAAAAAAATAATTATAAAAAACCATACATACTTTGGTCAATTTTTCGTTTCAAGTCTAAGATTTAAGAAATTATACTTTGTTTTTGAACTTTAAATATGCAGATATTAAAAAAAAATCAATAAAAAATATTTAATTATTTATATGTTATCATTATATTCATTTTAATTATAAAAAAGTCATTGTAGCATCATTTATATTGTAGAATAACAAAATTGATATTTATAATTTATAATTACAATAATATTGTATTGGGAAAGAAAGGAACAAAGAATTCATAACATTGCTGCAAATAAATAAATGACACAATTCATTAATTCAAGGAAAACAATATGAGATCCACCCAACAAAACAAGAACAAGAACAGGAACAGGAACATAGTTCGTAAACATCTTTGAAGTCCATACCAAGTTCCTGGATATGAGTCATGACTCAGATGATTCTTTAACAGAGAAGCTGGATTTCGTTTCTGATTGGTTTGCATCTCCCCAGACCAATGCGTCTGTTGTTAAACAGGCAGAAGACGCTCCGGCTGGAGTTCAAAATCATCAAGCATAACTTATGGAAGTGGGCTCTTCAGACATTGCTGCTTCAGAACTAGTGGTACTGTGTTGATATATTGTTTCTACACTTACATTAGAAAGAAGTATTAACCCTTAAAAAAATATTTTTTCAGTTATTTTATTTTTTTTGTTTAAAATTATTTTTTATGTTTTTAGATAGTTTTGATGTCTTGATGTTAAAAATAAAAAAAAAATATTATTTTAATATATTTTCAATCACAAAACACTTTAATAAACAATTATTACCACATTACCAAATACCTATAATCATCTGGGGAAAAAAAAAACAATTGATGTAAGGTTGCCGAGAAGCTAGGTTGCTAAATCACCATTTATGGAATATTTAGAGACCAAAGATTGATCTCCTCCATCGCAATAGCCAAAAGTGTTGACCAGATTTGGATACCTTCCTTTTGCTTTTCTACACATCTCATGAAAACAATGACTAACTTTAATCCCTTCATTGAATCTCTTGATTGCCGCTCTCATTATAAGTTTTCCCTAAACAAAAATTGTAAATTAAATTTATTAGGTGTTATTTTGTTTTTGGGTTTTTAATTCTCTCCTAAGTATTAATTAAATGCATAAAAAATAAAGTATGGATCATACATAGTGTTCTTAGCTAATTTTTTATAAATTTTAGACAAAAATTAAAAATAATAAAAACTCAAAAAATATATTTTTAATGGCTTTGCGTTACTTGCAGCGTTTTTTTCTTACACATTTAATTGTAAACGTGATTTTTAAGTTGACATTAGTGTTTTTTAAAAAAAATTCAAAATATACAAAATAAAAATAAAAATTTGCAAGGGACTAAATATAAAAAAAATTGAGGGATTAATTTATTTTTTTGTTGTTTGGTCATAAATTTGCATAGAGTCCAAACAATTAAAAATAAAAATAAGAATTCACGTGGTGACTACCCATATAAAAGAAAAAAAGAGGAATTTTAGAAAACCTATAAAAAATAAAAAGATACTCACACACTCTCCAAAAAAATAAAAAAAAATAAAAAAAAGAGCCACCCCCCTCCCTCCACATCCTAGAACAATAACCATTTTTCCCAAATTTTCTTCTGGCTTGGAGACCCAAACTAGCCCCTTCCCTTGTCTGACGTCCCCTCCATTCTTCCACGTCGGGAGCCACCACCGTGAAACCACGAACACACACTTTGACCAAATCATCTCCCCTTTTATCTTCACACGTCTCTTCTTCGTTTTCATTTGCAACCAAGACCCATCTTTTTCCTACCGACAACAGCAAAGCCACCTCCTCTCCAATCGATAGGCCCACCTCATCTTCAACCCAAGCTAGCCGATCCTCCACCTAGTCTGGCAACAACCACCCCTCACAGCCTCTATCTCCTCCTATTTAGACCACCAAAAGACCCAAACCTGGAACCAACCAACATCACCTCCCTCATCTACGCCGTGACCCACCATCAGCAGCACCGCAAGCACAAGAAGAAATCAAAAGGTTTAAGGAAAAAGATGTAAATGGAATTAATAAATTTGTTGCCTATATATATGGCTTCGGCCGACCATCATAGGGAACAAAAAAAAAGAGGGGGGAAGTATTGAGAAGAGTCTAGAGAGAATTACCTCAGAAAAAACCACAAAATTGAAGAAGAAATCTTGAGATTTTTAGATTTCTCCATCTTTAAACAAAAAAATAATAATATAAGAAATTAAGTGAGGAAGAGGAGAAAAAGGAGAGGATGGGACGACAAAGAAAGTAGAAGAATAAGAATTTTTCTTAGTGAGCATTAGAAGCTCAAATTCTTGCTAG